CCACTTGCATGAGGTTGATCCCAACAGTGGAAAAGGCACATTCTTTTTCTTCCCTTCTTCAATTTACCATATGCCAATAAAAATTGTGCTGGCTCCCCAAAGAGAAACCAGAAGACATTATAAATGAATCAGACCAAAAGTAAAGGAGGGCTTTCTAAGCCTTAAAAAAGACTATTTGATTGCATTAAGAACTTTAATCAAAACCTTTTTCATCACTGTTTGATTACATTGAAAACTTTTGAATTCTGTAGATCAAATAAAACTAGCCAAAATTTTAAGGCAAAAGAGATCACGCAGTTTCTAAGACCTCAGTTGACATAATTTGTAAAAGTGAATAAACATATAGAAAATTGTTCCATAGCATTAGTAATTAAAAAAATGCAAATTAAAAGTTATCAATCACATACACCATTATAGTTAGTTAAGTAAAGTACACTTCTTTTGGAAAGCATTTTTTTTTTTTTTTTTTTTTTTTTTTTTTTTTTTTTTTTTTTTTTTTAAGCACTGTTTCAAAGTAATCATAGCCCTCCTGACCGGTAATTGAACTTCTGATAGTCTATTCTAAAGTGATAATGTTAGGTATTGGTTATAGCATCATTTCTCTTAGGGGGCAAAGACAAACTGTATATGCACTCAGATATTATGGAACCATTAAGTAACATTTAATCCTGAATTATAATTAATTCTGGGTATAATTTAAAGATAATTTTTAAAGTAAACAAAATGCTAATGTGCTTGTAATTTTATAATTCAAAAAGTTTAAAGAACAACAACCAGAGACATTGTAGATGATGTGTTACGAAGGGGCTGAAAAGTAAGGAGACCAGTTAAGAGCTTAATATTCCATGTGATAGGTGAAGTTCTACATGGTGATAATGAGAATAGAACGGGAAAATTTATGAAACATGTCAGTAGTTTTTTTAAGGACTTAGTGACTGATGAAAGGTCAAGGATATCTCACATGTTTAATGTTTAAGTTTATTTAAATGATTGGAAATACAGTGATAGTAAGGTGTAGGCAGTTTGTAGGATGATCAGTTCTGAATGAGGGAAGAGAGAGAGTATGGTTTTAGAATTGGAGGGTTTGAGATACCTGAAACATACAACGTTCAGAAATAATTATGGGCCATCTGCTTACGAGTGACAATGGGGAATTTGGAGCCATGGGGGTACCTGAATGGGTTAGAAAGAGATCCTGTTAAGTGGAGATTAAACACACACACACACACACACACACGCACGCACGCACGCACGCACGCGCGCGCGCGCGGCGCGCGCGACAGGGTGGGGGGGGTGGCTCAGAGAAGAGAGGGGCAAAAATAGTGGAGATTTAGCACCCACATCTTCATTACACCAACCTCTGGTTAAAATCAAGGCCTTTCAGAAGTTGAGTCATTTACTTACCATTAACCAATATTTAAAGCATTTAAATGCCAAAGAGTGCAGGGTGATTAAATGGATAAAATAATGTTATTGCTCTTTTTTTTTAATTTATTTATTTTGAGAGAGACAGAGTGTGAGCAGGGGAGGGACAGAAAGAGGGGGAGAATCACAAGCAGGCTGGGCTTTTACAGCACAGGGCTCGAACTCAGGAAAGTGAGATCATGACCTTAGCCAAAATTAAGAGTCAGATGCCTTAACCTACTGGCCACCCAGCTGCCCCCAGTGTTATTGCTCTTTAACTTGACAGTGGCTTTAACTTTACAATACCAAATTGCTGAATTTGGTATAGTATCAGCAATGTAAAAGGGAGTATGTTAAGTGAAGTGCATTTTTTACCAAATGATTTATTATTGAGCTTTACACACAAAGTTCAGATAACCCAAATTAACCTAACTTCAATTTCTGTCATTGTACCATCCTTTCTCATTTGCTATCTTTATTCTACCACTTACCATTTTCTTTTGGGTGTTAAATTTATTCATGATGCCCTCCTTTCTGCAGTTACAAAGCATGTAGCTCAGTGTGTTGTACATGATATACACAGACAGTAGGTATTAGAAATTTTGAATTGAACAACTCTGCCCTTAAAAATAGCATCTGTAAGACTTTCACTATGGGAGAAATCTCATTACTGCCATTGATTTCCCCTCTTTCCCTGGTGATATATTCAGCTTCCACAGACAGTGAGCAAATTCTATGTAAATAGTGTTGGCTTAACAACACAGCAAGTCAAGAATCTTGTTTTAATATCTAAATCATTTAATCATAAATCATATAAACTATCAAGTCTATTTTTGTTTCATTTTTTTGTTAAAGGGAGCTGTTCTTCTAAACAAGTAATGAAAGAAGTTATTATTTCCTAGTATTTTAGTGCTGTTATTGATAAATTTAGAAAAATGGGAACGTTAATATAGAGCAGAAAGTTCTGTCTTGTTTGGAGCTGTGGGGAAACAACAGTGGAGTAATATATTTGATTTTTTTTTCTCTTGCCACCCTTAAAAAATTAAAACCTAAAATGTTTTCAAAGCCCAATCCATTTTTCACAAAACATCAGGCATGCTTAAGGAGCAGTTGGCATTAGCAGTTAATGTCATTTTAATGTGTTTTTTTTTTTTTTTTTCAGTATTTTACAGATTTAAAAAGTGGAGGTATTTAATCTTTCTAAATTTTTTACCTTGTGCAAAATACTGTAACAAGTCAGTTGTTTTTCTCAACCATAATATTCCAGGCTATGTTTATCATATGGACTCAGAAATCCTATACTGTTATAGTTTGTTAGGTAAAAACAACAAAAGAATGCTACTTTTTCTTTTTTACCTTCGGTGGTCTCTGGAGCTGTACTTTGGCTCAGCGTTGCCAGGCACCTGCCATTTGCATCTTCCTCTGTTAATTGGGTGGCAGGTTCATACTGCAGGATCGCATCCAAATCATGGAAGAACTTCATAGTTTTAGAGCTGTCTCCAGAGTTATGGGCATATTTAACTGTTCTGTATTCATATTTGAGATTTTTGTACTTTGCCCGGCACTGTTTCCAATCTCTGTATACTCCTAGTGCTTGCAGCCTTTTAGCAATGTAAATAAATATTCCTTTATTTCTCAGTGTTCCATAAAGTTGTTTTCGTATATTTTTTTCTGCCCAGACACTTAGCAAAGCTTTAACCTCTTCTTCAGTCCAGTGCTTTCCTGCTCCACTCTCCATGTTGAAAGTGACCTGGAAATGATTCACTATTTCTAGCCAAGGTTTTGTTTCCTAGGAAACCAGACGGCTGGTTGTCAATAAGCTCCAAAGAGCTGAAAAGATCTAGTTTAACTGGTTCAAGCTGCCTGAGGGGAGTAACTTGAGAAACTGCCAAATACGCAGGCTTTGTGATTAAAGAAGCCTGGACCTAAATGATGCCTAACGTTTTTCATTTCAGACTTAAGGGGAAATTACCCTGGAGACAAAAGGGAAGGAAAACCATTTTTTTGTTTATTTCTTTTCTTACATAATACTCTGGTTTACTAAATGGTTGTTGATTTTTAAAAAATAATTTTAGAAGTGGTTGGCAGAGGTTCTTTCTGCCCCAAGATTTATGGCAAACGTTATTTTTTTTCCCCTCTGCCATGAATCATTTAGTCTTCTAGCATAGGTTAACCTTGAAGACCACATCATTTCAGTAAAGAAATCCTAAGTCATAAGTGATCCAGTCTTATAGGGTGTATAGAGTTATGCATATATATTTAACGTATTGGTAGTATTTAATGCATTGATAATTTAGTAAAATTTTAATTTTAAATATTTAGATTTTTACTTTGCAGGTACACTTAATGTTGTACTTTTTTTCTTATTAAAATGCTAAACAGGGATGCCTGGGCTGCTCAGTCCACTGAGCGTCCAACTCTTGATTTTGGCTCATGATCTGATCTAACCCCAAGTCGGGCTCTGTGCTGACAACATGGAGGCCTGCTTGGGATTCTCTCCCTCTCTCTCTGTCCCTCCTCTACTAGCTCACCTGCTCACTTTCTCTCTCTCTCTCTCTCAAAATAAATAAACTTTAAAAAAATGCTTAAACAACTATAATATATAATTTTGAAAAATATTATTTTAGCCATTATTTTAGCCAAATAAGTCAATGTATTAATTGACTTAGTTATTAATGTACATATACATATATGATAGAAATTTACCTTTTATTTCTACCCTGTTATACATTCTTTGGAACAAAAATTTGTTAAAACACATCTAGTATTTATAGAGCTATTAAAATTGTGGAGCATTTGGAATCTTTATTTTATTACTCCGTAGTGGTACAGATCCTCTTAGTCTTAAGGTGTGTTATAACTACCTCCGGCCCAGCTTTTGGCTTTTTTCTTTATTTCATCATCTAGAAATATTAACGCAGAGATGAAACACAAAGTTCCTGATTAGCTTAGCATTTTTAGAAGCAGCATTTTTTTTTTTTGTAATAACTAAAGTGACAGATATTTGTTGGGGAAGAAAAGTGGTAAGTGCAGAAAAACAAAGCAAAAACCTCAAAAAAAAAAACCTCAAAAAAAAAAAGAATTTTGTTCTTGATTCTAGTACCCACAACTAAGCATTTTACCTAACAATTTATTTGGAGATATCCATTTATATCTACATACTCAATTTAGAGGTCACGTAGTACAGGGGTTAGAAGCTCAAGTTCTGGAGTCAGATTGTGTTCTCATCCTGGCTGTGCTGCCACTTTCCATGCAACATCGGGCAAGTTACTTAACTTCCATTTCTTTAGTGTCCTTATTTGTAAAATGGGAATGATAATCATGATAATCATAGTATTTAGTTCATAGGATTGTTGTGAGAGCCTAATAAATTAGGTCGTTCCTATAAATTTTGGGACAGTGCCTGACATATTAGTTAGAACTCAGACAATATCATCTATCTGGTCACCATCATCGTGAGTAGAAGGGGCACTGGTACTGGTAGCATGTAATGTATTGTCAGTCCCTGAATGCTCTTGAGAAAAGTATGCTTCATAAAGAAGCTTATCAATGAGGTAAATTTAAATTTAACAGTTGATGCCTTTTTGTATTCACAGGGGTCAGGAGAGTGCTGGTATTGTGACCAGTGATGGGAATTCAGTACCAACATTCAAAACACACAAGGTATATTTGAACATTAAAAAATGTTGATAATAAAGATAACAATAACCAGATGATAACTAGTATGTTGGTGGGGGAAGGAAATTTGAACAAATAATTTGCATATAAAAGTCATCCACCGGATCAGCCTTTCCATTTGTCCAATTAGGGTCCATTTCTGTGTGATAGTTTGCTTGACTGACTCACGGAAACAGGTCATATATTTAAGTATTTTAACATGCTTTGGGTTTTTAAAATGCATTTGATTTAGTTTATTTGACAAAATTTACTATTTAGTACATCTTCAGTGTTTTAATGGAAAGTAGCTCATAAAACAAGCACTCAACATTGTGAATGTATTAAATGCCATTGAATTGTTTACCTTAAAATGGTTAATTTTGTTATGTGAACTTCACCTCAATTTTTAAAAATTTTTTTTTGTTTATTTATTTTTAAGAGAGAGAGGGAGAGAGAGTGCAAGGAGGGGAGGAGCAGAGAGAGAGAGAGGGAGACACAGAATCCAAAGCAGGCTCCAGCCTCTGAGCTGTCAGCACAGAGCCTGATGCGGGACTGGAATTCACGAACCAGGGCTGGAACTCATGAACCGTGAAATCATGAGCTGAAGTCGGATGCTTAACCAACTGAGCCACCCACGTACCCCTCAAATTTTTTTCTAAAAAGATATTTCATGGTTCTTACAATTAGGTTAGTCTTTAAGATTAGAATTCTGGAGCACATAGGATAAAAGCCTTTACTCACTAGGGCCACAAGTCTGGTTTTTTTTTTCTAAGATGAGCTTCTACTTTGACTTTACAAGGGAATGGGTCTTGTAAATCATGTCTTTACTCAAGACAATTTGAAGAAATTATATATTTCAAACCTTGGAATTGGACACACGAGGTACGCCACTACAGGAAACTGTGAATTAGAAAACTGTCAGCCCTTTGTTGTTGAAACACTTCATGGGAAGATAGCTGTGGCACATAACGGCGAATTGGTAAATGCTACTCAATTAAGGAAAAAGGTAAGTGTTTTTAATGCTTTTTTTCATTATTAGGATAAATTAATGAAATGAAGTTATTGGGGATCTTGGTGCAGGATATTTTCTAATTGTTGCCACCTGTTATCTAACTGCAAAGGACAACTGTATTAGAATTACCTGGAGTATTTGTTATAATTGCAGATTCTAAGATTGAGCCCCAGAATCTGCAGCAGGAGGGTGGTCAGTCTGCATTTTAATGTACTTCTAAGGTGATTCTGATGGTACTGCTTTAGAATAGAGATGTGAAAAAGTTGATTTATGGTTGTTGTGAGAAACAGAGAAATTAGGGTTTTATGGGCTGTTCCTATCCCTTCAGCCTTGTCCTTATGTTCAAAGCATAAAAAGAAAATAGAATATAAACTGGATAACAAATACAAGGGAAAGTGATTTGGAAACAATTACAGGAAACCACTTGGGGAAAAGGCAAAGAATTTACTTATGTTCATTTTCGTTTATAGCATGGTATTTAGAGCATTCTGTGTTAATTTATGCCTATGCTTTTATCCATCATTAGTTTATCTTCCTTTTTTTTTTTTAATTCCTTAGTATCTTTATATTCCTGATAGCTTATTTATCCATTCTTGCCATTCATTTATTGATGCCACGTTTCTTCAGTATATTGGATTATAATAATCTTGATCTGGTAACCTTGGAAAGAAAACCCTCAGGTGGCATTCAGTAACAGGATGGTTATACACACACACATGCACACAGTTATTTCCTTAGCATTCTAGAACAAGGCATTTTACATGGGATGAATAGTGACAGGAGTCAAATGATGATGAATTTTGGTGGGTTGAAAATATCTAGAACCATGCTTCCATACCACTCACTGTCCTTTTATTTTCAATTCTAGCTTTGTTTTGTTCTCTTTTTAGGCACTGGTATTATAATGATAATATGTTTTTCTGCCCCTAAGTGAAAAAAGAATTTTTTAATTCACACAATCAAAAAAGTATAAATACGAAGTAAAAATTACTAAGAAAAACTCACCACTTAGTGATAACCACCAAAATTCAATTCCATGCAATACCTAGCTCATTTCTAGACACAACCACTTCCCAGAGTCTGGATTTCACCTCTACACATTTAGCTGCCTACTGAAAATGTTCTATAGTATCAGTTTAAACTCAACCTGTACAGGTCATTGGTGGTGTTCTTGTCCTGGTCACACTGGCTCAGAACCTTATAATCTTCATGAGTGTGCTCAACCAATTTTTATTACATCTTCTACATTTAATTTTTCCATATAGTTAATTCCTTTCTTCTATTCTGTCAGCAATAATCAGTGGGGATGGGTAGCCCACCAGCACTATCACTAACAAACCTGGATTGAGCGGCCCCAACTGTAGTATGCCACTCTTATGGGAATGTATCCTATTAGTTAGGATTGTCAAGGGCTGAAAAAGTTAGAATCACAGTTCTAAGTTCTTGTGCCTTCTCCACTCTCCCCCACCTTGACTGCAGGTTTATATTCCTTCAAACTTAGTTTTCAAAAGCTATTCTATATGCTTCCTAGAGCACTTTTTTTTTCTTGCTTAAAAACCTTCAGAGACTTCCTATTGCTTTCAGCAGTGGTTCTCCATTATTATATACATGTGTCATTAGTAGAATGCAGGATTTTCATAACTGAAAATTCACACAATGCCTGATCTCTTTCCATTATGGTGGGCTACTGGGTGAGGGGTGAGGTGGAGCTTCCCCTCTAATGATTACACTTTTCTCCATTCTAAATAGCTTCTGCGGCATGGTATTGGTTTGTCAACAAGTTCTGATAGTGAAATGATTACCCAGTTACTGGCATATACACCTCCTCAGGAACAAGATGGCACCCCAGACTGGGTAGCAAGGTAATTGTAAAACTAGGCTAAGCTCACAGCTCTGCTACGAGAGCTCTGTGTTGCACAGCTTATGTCTTGTGTTTATAACTGAAATTATTCAATTATTTAATTAATTCCAGGATTAAAAACTTAATGAAGGAAGCACCTACAGCATATTCCCTGCTTATAATGCACAGAGATGTTATTTATGCCGTGCGAGATCCTTATGGAAATCGCCCTCTATGCATTGGACGTCTTATTCCTGTATCTGATATAAATGATAAAGGTAATGCACTTCAGAAGAAATACAATTTCATAATGCTTTTCCAAGTTCTTGTCCTACTATTGGTACACCCTCAAATCTTTAGGTATAGGAAGCTTATGAATGAGAAGGAACTAGATAAAAAGAAAAAAAATGATGTAGTACTTCGTTGGTTTTTTTTGTTTTTTTTTTTTTTAATGTTTATTCTTGAGAGAGAGGGAGACAGAGCATGAGCGGGAGAGAGGGGAGAGCAGAAAGAGAGAGACACACACAGAATCTGAAGCAGGCTCCAGGCTCTGAGCTGTCATCACAGAGTTCAGCGTGGGGCTTGAACTCATGAGCCTGAGAGCATGACCTGAGCCATAGTCAGATGCTTATTTATCTATTTGGTGTTTAACTGTTCTCTTGAAATAGGTAGCCTCCTGTAAAATTTCTTGAATCCATTAACTGAATTGTCTTGTGATTTACAGAGAAAAAAGCTTCAGAAACAGAAGGATGGGTGGTGTCTTCAGAATCATGTAGTTTTTTATCAATTGGCGCAAGGTAAGTTTTGTTTCACTCAGCATATTCACTTTTTCCACATCAGTAAAAAGTTTTTTGTTACGTGAAAGTTTTCTTTCTGATGGCTGCTAGACCTATCTATAAATGAATGCAGTTTCTTTTGTACATTTTACTCAGCACTGGCACTGACTTTAATATTCCAGTAATACCTTCTAATTTTGAAACTGGCATCTTGCTTTCAAAATACTATGAGACTTATTTTAGAAAGGAAGAATCTCCTCAACAAGGAATAGTTATGATCGAAAAATTTAAGCCAGGATAAAAATGTTCTCTTTAACCTCTGTTCTTCCAAAACTGAGTAAAATTTATGGCTTTTATTTTATTTTATTTTTTTTTTAATTTTTTTTTTTTTTCAACATTTATTTATTTTTGGGAGAGAGACAGAGCATGAACGGGGGAGGGGCAGAGAGAGAGGGAGACACAGAATCGGAAACAGGCTCCAGGCTCCGAGCCATCAGCCCAGAGCCTGACGCGGGGCTTGAACTCACGGACCGCGAGATCGTGACCTGGCTGAAGTCGGACGCTCAACCGACTGCGCCACCCAGGCGCCCCTATGGCTTTTATTTTTTAAAATAAAAATTAGAATTTAGGGATAAGATAGAAGTATTAAATTTTTTTAATTTATTTTATTTTTTTATTATTTTTTTTATTTTGAGAGAGCAGGGGGAGTATAGCGAGAAGGAGAGACAGAACTCTAAGCAGGCGCTGCACCATTAGCTCAGAGCTTGATGCAGGGCTCAAACTCATGAAATGTGAGATCATGACCTGAGCTGAGATCAAGAGTCAGACACTTAAGTGACTGTGCCATCCAGGCACCGCAAGATACAAGTATTAGATTTACTGCTGGAAGAATATTAATTTTTTATTTTTTAAGCCATCTCTATATTAAACTGAACCACTTTTCCTTTATAAGGGAAGGGACTCTTTGTGTACTTTACAATAGATGTTATTATCAGTCTTAAGGACTGTTTATTTAAAGTCTTCTTTCTTTAACATTGTTTCCCAAGATATTACCGTGAAGTCTTGCCTGGAGAAATTGTGGAAATAACCAAACGTAGTGTCCAAACTCTTGATATTATACCAAGGTCTGAAGGAAACCCGATGGCATTTTGTATCTTTGAATATGTTTATTTTGCAAGACCAGATAGTATATTTGAAGGTAAATAAAATATCTTTAACTTTTTACTTAAGTTTCTTATTTATCTCACTGAAACATGGCAGTTCTTGGTTCAAAGGCTTACCTGGCTCTTTGGAGGCACATTGTTAGATGCTGTGGATATGAGACTGAACCTACAAGTCATAATATCACTATTTTTCCCTTTCATGCTGGACCTTGTTTTCCTTTTAGGAGTAAGGATTATGATTTTCAGATATGTAATAAGGCCAAATTTTTTTTAAATAGTGAATTCCCCAGTTTATATTTTCTGCTTTAGTTGTTTTATATGCTTTACTTTTTGTACTCCATGTATAGAGTTCTAACAAGCTAGTTTTCTTAGAATAATAATGAAATGCTAAGTAAAAATAATCTATTTTTTTTCTCAAACATTCCAGACCAAATGGTTTACACAGTAAGATACCGTTGTGGTCAGCAGCTGGCAATTGAGGCACCAGTGGATGCAGATTTGGTTAGCACTGTTCCGGAATCTGCTACACCCGCTGCTCTTGGTTATGCAGGAAAGGTATTTCTCTTGACATGCAGTGAAATGCTCTTATAGCACTGAAATCAGAAACCCTTGTATATAAAGAGAAACTTACCAGTATATTACAAGGAAAAAGAAAATGTTGGATCCTTTACAACAAGAGTTATTTTTCAACCTTTTCATTCAATGGCACTGTTTTAGTGGAATCCACCCCAAGATTCACCTAAAGATGAGCAGAATGATCCACTTCACTTAAAAAGACAACATCATTGGGGCACTCGGGTGGCATAGTTGGTTAAGTGTCTGACTCTTGATTTTGGCTCAGGTCATGATCTCATCATGGTTCGTGAGTTTGAGCCCCACATCAGGCTCTGTGCTGATGGCGTGGAGTCTGCTTGGGATTTTGTCTCTCCCTCTCTCTCTTCCCCTCCCCTGCTTGTGCTCTCTTTCAAAATAAATAAATAAACTTAAAAAAAAAAAGATAACATCATGAATACCTATAGAATTTAGTGGTAATATTTACTTATTACTAAAACTTATTTCTTGAAGCACCCTCCGTCACAAACCACTGGTTTATTTGTTCTCTATTTAGTATGGGTGATCACAAAGCCGTTTATGTTCATTTTGTGTAATGTTTTTAGTACTGTGCTTCGTTTCATTTTCCATAACCAGATAGATTTATATGACTATGGTGATCCTGGGGTGTCCTCATCTGCATTCACTATGTTGAAAGTTTTATGTTTTCAAAAGAAATGATATGCGCACATTTTGTTTTTTAAAATTTTTTTTTAATGTTTATTTTTTTGAGAGAGAGAGAGAGAGAGAGCGTGCGCGCGCAAATGGGGGAGGGGCAGAGAGTGAAGGAGACACAGAATCCAAAGCAGGCTCCAGGCTCTTGAGCTGTCAGCACAGAGCCTGACACGGGGCTCGAACCCACGAACCGTGAGATACGACCTGAGCCGAAGTCGGACACTTAACCGAGTGAGCCACCCAGGCGCCCCAATATGCACATATTTTAGATTAGTATTACCTTGAAAGATGGATAAATCACCTCCTGTCCCTCAAAAAGCATTCTTTGCATACTGGGTTTTGTTTTTTATTTTTTTAATGTTTATTTTCTTTTTGGGAGAGAGAAAGAGCACAAGCTGGGGAGGGGCGGGGGGAAAGAGAGAGAAAGAGAAATCCCACGTGGGCTCTGTGCTTACAGCAAACTTTGAGATCATTATTTTGAGCCAAAATCAGGACTCAGATGCCTGACCGACTAAGCCACCCACGTACTCCTGCATACCAGTTTTAATTCATTTCTTGCTGATAGTTTTTAATTGCTGTGAATTTTTTTGTCAGTGATTTATTGTCCTGTCTGCACACACTTACTGTTCCTTTCCAAGACAGGGAAGTAATATTTAAGAGAGAAACATTACAACTTCTGACAAATTCAATTGGTTTTCCCAATGAGTATATTACTTTGAACGAGTTTACTTTTTGTCTTTTTTTCCCCTACAATTTAAATAGTGAAGAAAAATTGTAATCTATTGATGGAGAGTTCAGAATAGCAATTTCAAATGTTTTCATACATATTATAATGGAAGAATGACCTAGAGAAAATAAGAATCTAGAGTTCTCTGTATGTTGCTGTTCATTGTCCTTTTATTTCTTGTCAGTGTGGGCTTCCATATGTGGAGGTGCTATGTAAAAACCGGTATGTAGGAAGAACATTTATTCAGCCAAACATGCGGTTGAGACAACTTGGTGTTGCAAAAAAATTTGGAGTATTGTCGGACAACTTTAAAGGCAAAAGAATCGTTCTTGTAGATGATTCAATTGTGAGAGGCAATACCATCTCACCTATAATCAAATTGCTCAAAGAATCTGGTGCGAAAGAGGTAAGTATTATTAAAACATACCCTAAAGTACCGATAATTAATAGTACGATACTGGCATAAAAATTGCAATTTAGTACAGCGAATGAAAATGGATAGTTCAATAAAATAAATTGTCATCTTTCAAATGAGTTGGTTTAGGAATAACTATGCAGCAACTTGGAAAACATATAATAGCCACTCTTAAACTGCATACTAACTATAATCCTTAATAGACTAAAAACCTCAATATAAGGTTAATTTTAAAAACTCACAAAGCCACACAATAAAATGTTTGTTTAATTTTTAGAGTACTTCTCTTTTTGAAGATGTAGAACAAATCCTACTGTAATAGATTTGCCACATTGGGTTATATTTTAAATCTCAAAGCTTATTCTAACTCTAAATATCTTAGTAATTCAAAATACAGAAGTGAGGTGTCATTTACAACTAATAGTTAAGTGGATTCAATAATAAAATCTCTTGTAGGAGAAAGTGGCATGGAAAGCAGTGGCAGTCTCTCTAGAAAGCTTTGAAAATAATTGTGATTATGATTTTCCAGCTTTTTATGGCTGTTAGAATTATGATAATCTCTTCAGAATTCCTTGAAAAGTTTGTAATTAAAAACAAAGAGGTGTAAAGTAAATTCACCATTTGTTACGGTAGTGAAAAAGAATACACAACAGCTTATGTATCTACCAGTAGGAAGTGTATCTACCTAAGTATGATGAAATATGTTGTAGCCACTAAAAACTGTAATTATGAAGACTACGTAATATGGGAAAATCTTTGCTTTATAAGAAAGGTAAAATAATTGTGGGTGCCAATTATGGCCATGTAAATGTACCTTACAAAAGGCAGAAAAGTAATAATAGAGAAAAAAAGCTCCTAATAGTAGTTAAGGTTTTTGTTATATCCTGTAGACCATTTTTTGCTTTCTGAAATGGTAAAATAAGAGGTAGGCACAAGTGGCATTCAAGAGAAAATGAAGGTGGTCCTAGGAATATAAAGTCATTAAATGGGAAATAGAAGAAAGAAATGTTCTCATTGATAGATGGTAAAAGGAAACAATAGGCAACTCAGTAAAAAGAATCTTTTACAAGTGGCTGACATTTTGAAATCTTTGTCCAGATGCTTTGGAGTTTAGAGCAGGGCTGCTCCAGAAGGGTTATAAATGTTAGAATAATATGTGAAATGATTTCTTTCCAAGGTACACATTCGAGTAGCTTCACCGCCAATTAGATACCCATGCTTTATGGGAATAAACATACCAACAAAAGAAGAGCTTATTGCCAATAAACCTGAATTTGAACATCTTGCAAAATATCTGGGTAGGTATTAAAATTTCTCTAAACATTTTTTTTTTTAACAGAGAAAATCCAAAGCCTGTCAGTCTTTATACTTGTAATAAAAACAATATCCAGCATTTGTTAAAAATAGATGATTTTATAACATGTTAAGCAGATACTGAATAGTATTCTGAATAGAGTGCCTGGTGTGTATACACACCATGGTAAGTGCTATATTGGAGACCTAGGCCAAGGTGAGATCAGGTGAAAAGGAAGAAAGGCTTTCTAGGTAGAGGGAACTGCAGGCATATCAGTTAAAGCCTCCCAAAGATCAGATCTGAAGAAAAACAAAAACAATTTTACCACAGATTATAATAGAATAATTTAGATGTGGGTACAAATCAAAAAGTGAAAAGCTAATGTAGGGTTATCTTTAATAATGAGGACAGCAGACTTGGAGATTAGCTTATCCTGGATAAGACAGTTGCTTTTCTGTTTTTTTTTCTTTTTTTTTTAATTAAAGTTTATTTATTTATTTTTGAGAGAGCGAGCAAGCAGGGGAGGGGGAGAGAGAGAGAATCCCAGGCAGACTCCCCATTGTCAGTGACCTGGGCTGAAATCAAGAGTCAGATCTTAACCAGCTGAGCTGCCCAGGTACCCCAAGACATTTGCTTTTCAAATTAGGTGAGATAAACTGTTTTAATATCACAGCAGATGTTTAGCCAATGTGCCTTGGTACCTCCGTACTGGTTGTCTAGATGGCTGGTTTTGACATGCCTGTGCCTTACCAGTTAAATACTTTGAATATCATCCAATTGGTACCTTATTGTGAACACTCACTTTTTGCCCGGAACATATCTGTATTATTGTAATAATATCACAGATACCATATAGTTAGGCCATGTTTCCCTTATAAATGAAAAGACTTAGGAAAAGTAAAGTGACCTTGAGCTTAAATTTGAACCCAGATTTTCCTGACTTCAAAGTCTGTTTTTCATAATCAAGAAAATTACTAAAGAGACTTTCTGAATCCATTCTAGATTTGAAGCCTCCAGTGCTATTTTAAATAGCAATTTAAATTCCAATTTCAAATTTTAAAAAATTATAAAGGCCCAGAATTTTATTGCTTATTCCCTCTCCCCTCCTCCACCCCTGCTTTTTTTTTTTCTTTTTTTTTTTTTTTTTTTTTTTTTTTTTTAAGAATATGAAAGAGAAATTTTTATGCTGGCTTAAGTTTTCCTGTTTGTGACTGTTGTCTTGTGAGGCAGATCTTTCTTTCCAAAGGAAGCATCATGACCTTTTCCTTTTCCCCTCTTTCCCTCTGTAGGAGCAAACAGTGTTGTATATCTGTCAGTGGGAGGACTAGTTTCATCTGTACAAGAAGGGATAAAGTTTAAAAAACAGAAAGTGGAAAAGCAGGATATTATGATTCAAGAAAATGGGAATGGTCTGGAATGCTTTGAAAAGAATGGTCATTGTACAGCATGTCTCACTGGAAAATACCCTGTGGAGTTGGAATGGTAGTTGATAGGGGCAGACCTGATGTTTCAAAATATAAAGTTGGTCAAGAAGTTATAGTGGTGGTTATACCTTATCCATTTAACTGTTACTCCCTTGGTCAATGTAAAATGCCATATGCTTATGATTACCTTTATATATTTTGAGATTTCTTTTCTGAAAAGAGTACCAAAGTGCTATGCTTTCCTTAATGATCCTAGATAAATATTTTGGTGTCATCTAGGAGTTTGGATGATCCTTTGTTTTGTTTAGTAGTTTAGTACTTTGAGGCTACCAGTTATGAGATCATACACATTTAAGTTCAGATCAGCAACAATAATGCAATGAATAGATAAATTTCTGTTTTAGTAGGGTTGGCCAGGCACTATACCTTCCCACAGATTCTTAGAAAATTTTGTGGAATGTTTCTTGAGTTATTGCAATTCGGTTGTGGAATATTTTCATAATTGAACCTTGCTAATTGCATATAATGCAACAACACTGTTTTTTGTGGTGTTTGTTTGTTTACACACAAGCATTGGCTAGCCTTTTTCACCTGGTCAGAGAAAGTAGGTAGTAAGTGGCATTTCCCAGGTCCATGCTTTAAATGGTTTGCAAGAGGTTAGACTAAGATGTTGTGATGCAAAGAAGACATGAGTTAAATATAACATTTCACTCAAACCTTGAATCCATCATATCCCAAAAGTGTCAAGCCTTTAGAGTTCTCAGTGTGGTTTTGACCTTTCTTCCCTGTCTAACTTTAGACAAATCTCGAAACATCAACAACAATAAATACATGCCTCTTTGTGCCTCACTTTTCCCGCCTGTGCAGCGGGTACTTAGTAAATTAATTAATAGGGATGTGAAAAAGTGTCATACTTTTTGTGGTGGTTAGAGCCATCCTTTCACCCCTCAGTTTTAAGATAGTGCATGATTATTAGCTTTTGAAACGTTGGCTGTTATTCTGAAATTGAGATTTCATTATGATGAAGGGAGACATACAGTTTAGCAGTGCTTTGCCACCTGTCTTTGAGATGTCCTAAGGATGATTGTAAAAACATGTCTGTGGAAGGTGTTTTTCTACATTTGATTATGAAGTATGATCTACATACTACTTAGTGCCCTTATAGTATAAACCCAGCAAGTAACCTAGTACATTTGAAATAAAAAATAAATTTTTAGGTTCTAACAACCCTTTTATTCTTATTAATTATATGTTCTTTTAATAAAGTGCTTGATCATTTGCAAACATATATACATATATATGTACAAATATAGATATATCATTGCAATTAAATGATCAAATACAAACCCTGTAGGGGCCAATTTTGTTTAAGATCAAGGTGACAACTATTTTGGAATTAGCATGCCTGTCTGATTCTAAGCATCACCTTATCACTTTTTTTCCACTTTGTTTTATTGGGATCTAACAAATACAGTTTTTTTGAAGTGTTTTCCTGTAACATCTGAGATTTAAAATTTTAAGATGCCTTGCCCTCAGCTCCTGTTTATGTAAGATTTTTTTCAAACATAAAAGTGTTTGTTTCTGTGTTATTAAGTTACCTTAATTTGATGTATATAGTGTCCAAATCCATTTAGGAATTTAATATTTATTAATAACTGAAATCTTCTGTCTTCATTTGGTATATAGTCTCACATATTATATTATGGCAGGCCAAGATAAAATCTTGACAGCTATTTAAGCCCATGTGCAGCAGGCATCAGCGTGTTAGATAATGCTGTGGCAATGACACAAGCAAATTGACATTTGAATAAAGCCCTGGGACCACTTGAGTGTATAGCCTCTTGTCTTAAATGTATTCCTCATATCAGCATGGAGGAGGCAAGACCTGTGGGTCAATTTTGAATTGGCCTTACTTACATTTGATTTTTAAAAACAAGAGACTCAGGGAAAGTACTAAACCAAAATCTCTGATTTGACTTTCGTGTTTTCCATAGTTTTTGTCTCCCATTGTTTTTATTTTGTTTTATTGAGATGCTTTTATAAAGGAATATGGGACTGTGAGAGTTTGGTTATTCTACAAATTTCTTAATGTTTCTCCATCATGGCCTTTTATTTCACAAGTTTCTGAAGTCTGAATTCAATTACAGTTTTTTACATTTAATCTCAAATGTTGTTTAACTGTTTTAAATAGCAGAGTGCTGAAAATTACAAAGATGAAAAAATGTGTTTTCACAGGATCTATATTGTTGTGAATTAAACTAAGTCTACTTTTTTGTGACTTCATTGTGATGTATTGGTGATAAATATATGTAATAAGTGTGTTTAAGTATGTGTGTGCTTTTTTTTTTTAATAATGACCTTTGGTTAGTGCATTATGATGAGTAGCGCAGTAATAGTCACATCTAGGCTCCATTCTTGGCACCAGCTAGCCATATCTTATTTCTCTGATCCAGGCATTTCAATAAATAGACCAGTGCTTATGAACCAGGCAAAAGTCCTGGCTGAGTAGGAAGGAGAAATGAAGTTATTAGAAACGTAATGCTGAGTAAGCACTAGAATAGTGGTAAGTTTTGTGGAAATACCAGTGAGAATGGGGAGTGTCACAGAAGAGGTGGCTTAGATTTCCAAAATGTATGTGTGTGTTGGGGGAGTTGTGTTGTTTTTTTTTTTTTCAGTCAAATTTAGGTAAATCAATAAATTGTATATTCAGACAATAGAACTTTATTCAGTCCTAAAAAGGAATGAACTGTCAGGCCATGAAAAGATATGGAACTTAAATGCATATTACCAAGTGAAAGAAGGCAGTCTGTCAAAGCTGTATACCGTGTGAGTCAAACTTTATGCCATTCTGGAAAAGGCAAAACTATGGCTCAGTTCATGATTGTGGGATCCAGACCCACATTGGACTCCATGCTAAGTGTGGGGCCTGCTTAGGGTTCTCTCTCTCCTCCCCCCCCTTTTTCCCCCCGCACCCCTCCATCCTTCTCTCCCTCTCCCTCTATCCCCTGCTTACGCTAGCAAGCACATTGTCTAAGATGGAAAAAAAACAATGAAGCCATCAGTGATTGCCAGGAGTTAGTGGGGAGGAAGGGATAAATAGAAGGAGCACAGAGAATTTTTAGTACCATGAAACCACACTGTGTGATATTATAATGGTGAATATATCTCATTATATATTTGTTCAAACCCATAGAATGTACAACACCAGAATAAACCCTGATGTAAATTATAGACTTTGGGTGATAATGATGTGTCATTGTACGCTTATCAGTTGAAACAAATGTACTGCTCTGCTTGGGGATGTTCATAATGGGGAAGGCTCTGCAATATGCAGAGCATATTGGAGGGCAGGGGGTTTGTGGGAACTCTGTCCTTCTGCTCAATTTTGCTGTGAACCTAAATTAACTGCTCTAAAATATTGCCTATTTTAAAATAAACATACTAAGTCCCACCTCTAAAAGACAAAAAATAAAATAATATATGCATATATGTTATTGCCTCTGAAAATCTTGCCCTAGGGCATCACCTGAATCTCATGCCTTCTTCGAGTTTCAGATAGAGCCTGGTCAACTCCTAAGGGAAATTGCCTTCTTGTTTCTTAACCAAGTCAAAATAAATATCCAAGCCTCTGAGAAAAAACTGCATGCTGCTTAGACATTTTAGACTAAGCTATAGTATGCAATGTGAATGTGTGTCTGTGTGCACACGCGTGCATAAATTTTCTTCTTAAGTAGCTAGGGGTTCGATGGCAGGAGCTGATGCTTTTAACCTTTTTGGAAGTTCTCAGGATCTACCATAACACTGAACTCCTTGCACTGTGACAAAATGGAAAACCACTGCACAAAGGAGGCCCACACAGGAGGGCCCTGTACTCTTCCTCAATCTCTGAATTTGCTTCACTGAAAATTACTTGTTTGACTTCACTATTGACATACTGATGGATATCTTCGATGTGATGATTTTGTGTTAATTTGGCTAGGCTTTGGTGCCTAGGTGTTTGTTCAAACACCAGTCTGGATGTGGTGAAGGTATTTTTTAGATGTGATTAACATTTAAATCTGTAGACTTTGAGTAAACCAGATTACTCTCCATAATGTGAATGGCCCTTATCCAGTTGGTTGAAGGCCTTAAGAACAAAGATGGAAATTTCTTGTAGAGTTTTTAAAATTGCCATAGACACCCTGCTAGAGTTGCCAGCCTGTTGGCCTGCTCTACAGATTTCTAATTTGTCATTTCTCCAATTGTGTGGGGCAGTTTATTAAAATATATCTATTGGGGCACCTGGGTGGTTCAGTTGGTTGAGCCTGTGACTCCAGCTCAGGTCATGATCTCACAGTTTGTGAGTTCAAGCCCCATGTCAGTTCCACACTGATAGTGCAGAGCCTGCTTGGGATTCTCTCTTTCTGCCCCTACCCCACTTGTGTGCTCTCTCTCAAAAATAAACAAACTTTAAAAAAAAACTAAAATACATGTATCTATCTCTGTGTCTCTTTTTCAAATGTGTATTTTTTATATATATTTTATATGGTGTGTGTGTGTATAAAATGTTGTTTCTGTTCCTTTACAGAACTTTATAATAGACTCCTTTTGCAAACAGCATGACCTCCCTCATCCATCCATTCTTTCCTAGCCACCTGACAAAACAAGCCTGAATGAACCCAACCACTAATTTTCTCCGCCTTCAACTTGGCAGCTGAGCACCGTTAAGAGTAAATCACTGTTCTCCCAGTTGTGATGCTACAAAGCAGACAACAGGGAGCTTATCTTTAGGGTAGTAGGACAACGTGATTTATAATGTATATTTGGTCTTTGTCCTATTTCTAGCACAGATATCCTAAAGCCCTTAGGATTTCCTAAGTGATAAGAGCAATTAAGTGTCTTTTTTGAAAATTCCAGTGTAGCGGTGCCTGGGTGGCTTAGTCGATTAGGCCTCCGACTTGGACGCAGGTCATGATCTTAAGGTCCATGAGTTTGAGCCCTGCTTCAGGCCCAGTGCTGACAGCTCAGAGCTAGGAGCCTGCTTAAGATTCTCTTTCTCTCTCCTCTCTCTCTCTCCCCACCC